GGAGGCCATCGTCCAGATGCTGAGCGCTGAGCTCAGCACCTAGCCCTTGAAGCATTGTCTTAATGCCGGCTTTGAAGGCTGCTCTGTCTATAGCGTTTATGTCACGCACGGTCCTGTAGACAGGTGGGTTCTTTGGGGGAACTACGTTGAGTGTAGTGAGCACCGCTGCATGGTCAGAGGAGAGCATATGACTCACAGTACAGCTGTCCACCAAGTTGTCGTCATCACGGTACACCACCCAGTCGATGATGTGGCCGCTGCGATAGTAGGTGGGCTGCTTAATGCCCTGGACAAGACTAAACCTTGTGAGGATGTCTAGTACCTTGCTAGTAAAGGGATCAGTAGGGACGTCATAGTGAACGTTAAGGTCGCCCACGATCACACTTGTTCCACGGAGCAGGTTGCAGTAGTCAAGTAGGTCAGGGAGCTCAGAGAGGAAGGTGGAGTTTAGGAGCTTGTTCTTCTTACTGGGCGGAGTGCGGTACAAGCATAACATGTTGACAGTGTGGGGCGTGTTGAGGGTGAACTGAACAAGTTCTAGAGAGGTGTGCTGGAATGGGAATGTGGAGGTGAAAGTCACTGGGAGGTGGCTACGATAAATGACAGCGAGGCCGCCACCTCTCGTAGCACGCGGAAAGGACTTAATATCGAAACCCGGTGGCGTGAGGTCAGCACACTTGGCATCATCCCCTGTTGACCTCAACCAAGTCTCCGTCAGGAACAGCACGTCAACAAATTCGTCCTTTACGAACTCTACTATCTTTGTTCGCTTCGCCCCGCACTTTGAGCCCACGGATTGGCAGTTATAGTGGCCTACTCGTAGTTGGTCTGGAAGCTTCTGGCGGCCGCTGATGACAATGACGTTGCTGCGCCGAATACGTCCGGAGTCAAGTGGGACCCATGGTACGCGCTTTGGACGAACAGGAAGGCGTTCAAACACATCTGTCACCACATGGATATGCATCGATTGCTGCGTCTCAAAAGACCAATTTACTTTCATTGTATCTTTGAGGGCAAACTGGGGAGAAGTGGGTTGATGCATATGGTCAGGTGTTGAGGTGGAAGGAGCTGAGTGACGAGATCTCATCTTCCTTTTTCCCCCGCGAAAACCTCTAGCAGTTTTCTTTTTTATTAATTGAAGTGTTCTACATCGTGCAAGAATTTCACTACTAAGGAGATAGCTATCAGCTAGAAGGTTACGCAGCTGGCGCAGTCTAGTAGATGAATAATGGAGGCAGGACATCTCTTTCAAGTTAAAATCTACTCAAAACAAAGAAACACTTTTGTGGCTTGACTTGTCGCCGCACAGCGTTCCACATAGTGTCATTTGGAAATTAATTATCAATCAATAAAAATTTGTGAGAAAACTCCTGATTTTGCGTAAGTGTAGAGATTTCTGAACTATCTAGTAAGCGAATCAAAAACCGGAAGTAATATATCGATAGCCTTGACTGTCTAATTTTATATAAATTAAGAATGGAATAATTCTAATAAACCTAGTAATTTTCGAAATAAATTACATTCCTACGTCCAGGAGACTTTGAGTTACAAACTTGTCCCAACTATTGAGGAATATTATTTGAAAAACACATTCCAAAAATGAAAAAATGAACAGAGATTTCACTGCTGCCTATCAAGCGCTAGTGAACCGGAAGGTTTGTGTGTTAATTTTTTTTGTGTTGCATTGTATTGTATTGTAAATTATTGTACTGTATTGTAAATGAAACTTGGCATACACATTAAGAATAACATTGACAAAAAGTTTAAAGAAGATTATTACACAGCAGTTATTGGAAGTGTTACAAATGGCATGTATGTGGGGGGTCACATAAATATTTGAGAACTCGTCAGGGGTAGCAAATGTAAAAATGTTATAAAACTTTCTAGTTGGATATATATATAAAAAAGCCCCTTGAATTTCGTAAACAATATCAATGAAAAGAAGCCTGCAATGTTTGAAGGGTGTAGCTAGCATACTTTTCCTCCCGATTCATTTGGCGTTCCTTAAAAATCCGGAAAATGCAAAATTGAGAAAAATGAAAAAAAAAATTATAAAATTGTGTTTTTTTTAATTAGAGGCTGCATGAACGATTTAGGATGCATACACCAGGTACATATATCCTTCATGATTTTAAAAACAATTAGAAAACTAAGACAGAAAAGATTGAAAAAAAAATTAACACACGAACCTAATAAATAAAATACATAAATACAGACATTCTGAAAACTTTTCCTATGAGACATTTGTTTTAAAAAATCCAACATAAAGTAAAGAATCTCATAAGCATGCAAAGTTTCAATTATGTGGTTCCAAAACTATTACTCCTGATTCATCAATTGATGTCAGTAAAAAAAATGAAAATGCTATTTCTATAAAAGCTGAAAAAGACATTGAAACAACATTGGATACATACATCATGAACACATTCCACTCGTTAATTAAAAATAATAATAAAAAACATATATATAATTGATAGAATATAAATGAATGCATTATCCCAACAAGAGTAACCTCCAGCCCAATAAAAATAAGATCTTAAAAACTTTTTTTTTATTTTTTATTAGACATGTAATAAAAAAGATCAATCATAATCATTATACCGAGACTATAATAGAAACAACCTTGCATATTTGAAGCATGTGGTAATAATACTTTTCCACATAATACATTTGATGACAGAGATAAATGGAAAATCTTAAGTGGACCACTTTAAAAAGAGAAAAAAATGAAATTAAGCAATATTAAAAATATAGGAGTCAAATAAAATGAAATTTAAAGCATATCAATGTGAAATTATCAGGCAAAGGTGAAAAAATAAATATTTACAAAAAATATTTTACAAAACTAGTTTCTGCAAGGCATATTCACACATTCACAAAAGATAAGAATTTTCTAGATATATTTTAAAAAATTAACCATTATGGCAGAACATGTTAATTATTAAAAAATAATAAATCAATAGATGTAAATGTAAGTTAAGAAACATAAATTGGCCCAAGAAATATAATAAAAATGGGTATTTATTTTATACGTTGCTATTTGGACCCAGTCCGAGAAGTTAGAGGTTGGGATTATTTATTTACACACCAAAAAGTTATAATTTTTAAAACATTAAAACATTCACATATTTATTTTATACAAGTAGTTGAAAATTGTTGGGGCAGCTATCTTTTTCTTTTCAGGGTAAAATTTTGTTTTACCTTCGGTCGCCCCTTTGGACTAACTCTGTAAAAGTTAACCTTCCCAAAGGAACTAATACTATTTTCAGTTTGAGTAATAAGACTCTCTAAATTATTTGCAGCAACTGTTTCCTCGTGGGAAAAATAAATGTCATTTATATCAACTAAATCAATTAGTTGACTTTGAATGAAACTTGTTTGTAGTTAACCTTCATCAAGTTGTGACGCTGATTCATTTTCATCTAAATTTTCAGGACTTTTCCAGAGACTTATAGTAGTTTCAAGAAAGGATATTTTCTCTACAAAATCTTGTTCTCCTTGCATCGCCAAAAAATTTGCCAAGCCCATACAAATTCTTTTAGCATGATTAAACCGACCCTCTTGAGTCTTAAAATTATTGTTTCTAGTAGATACAATTTGAGAAGTTACTGAACCACTAGAAGTAGAAGCAACCACTCTAGGAAAACCATGTTTGCTAAAACGGCATGGAATTAACTCTGAACAAAATTCTGGAAGCTGTAAATGTCTTCGAACTGAAAAATTACGTCTGCAAGGTAATGCCATCTTTTTAGCAAATGAACAATTACATTGAACTGATGTCGAGCTTAAAAAACGTTCCTTATAAGCTACTGAAAAAAGTTCTGCCTCTCCAGGGACAACAGAGTACAGAACAGATCATAACAATTTGAGCTGATTTAGCAATAGAGCAGCAGCAAAGGAAGTAGCAACACTTTCAATCTTATTTACACTTTCATCATTATCAGATGACGTATATTGAGCTGTGTTTGAAGCAAGCAATCTTAAACGATCACATACTGTAATTTTGCAGTTGTCAAAAGAAATAAGGTTAAGAAGAGCAGATGAAAAAGAAAGATAATGAGTCAAACTATTTTTTATTTTGGCATGATAAAACTCCAAGTGATTTGTTTTTGTCACATGAGAGTCTTAAAACATCAGCATTGGATGATGCTGCCCATAAATGGGCCTTACTCCACCAGTTTGACTCCAAATACTCCAAAGCTACACCAGGAAGAGTAATATTAGTGGCGCAGCTATCATTGCTGACTCTGGGTGGGTTAAGCTTTTTTGCCAGATTCATTCAATGAGAAATTAAATTTTTGTTGATTATGATAGTCAAGTTAAAATTATAGGGATGGTCTGGGGAGGTGCCTTATTAATTACCTTTATTTTCGCTGCTTTTGACTGTACATGCTCTCCTCCTCCTTTCTGAGCATATTAGCCTATTTGCAATAATTTAGAATAATTAATAGTTTTAGCCCAATCCATAGGCCAGGCCTGCACAACTCAAAATGTAAGACGGGCCGTAATATTTTATGAAAAACTTGTGCTGGCTGAAAGCTATTAAGAAAATAATGTAATAAAGAATATTTCGTTATTTCCCAGGCCGCAAAGTGGGTGCTGGCGGGCCACAGGACGTATGTTATGCAGGCCTGCCTGGGGACACCACTTATTAGAGCACCCGCACCCTCCTGTACGGGCTGTTTGCGAAGGCTTTCTTTGCAGTCTGAGCGGCTGTGCCCAAGTAAAACCGTGTCTTTTGGTAACTATTAAAACCGAATGAGATTTAAAAAAAAAAAAAAAAATTAAACCCCGTTTAATAGCATTGCCGAGAATTTTAGTATTATAATTCGACTTTGCGTGCAAAAATACTACAATAGTGATTTTAAGTCATACTTTATATCGTATCAGTTGTATTTAAGCATTTTAAAACATGTAGTTTGACAACAAGCGACAAGGTCTTTTTAAAAATTTATATTGTCGGATAAGATTGGTTGAGCTCGGTATTTAACACCATTTAACACTATTGTCAGCATGATGTGTACGAATCCCATTGATGTAAACGCTATGTTATTTTTCGTGTAAACGTAATGTAAGTGTAAAGTACCATATTTTGTTAGGTAAAATACTAATATAAGCACCAGAACTGCAAGACGTCACATGAGGAGTCCAATTGCAAACCCTGCTAAGTCACTTTAGATTGATTTTGAGAAAAACACATTTTTCTAAAACACAATGACAATGATGCGTTAATCCTAGGATTTTGGTTTTTGTTCCAGTTGAAAGATTAGCTGTAAATTATATATTTTTAAACATAAAATATAGTTAAATGGGCATTTTTGCATTTATAATGCATTATAAAGTTATTACTTAGCAGGTTTTGAAAATGTTTACATACTTAGCAGCTTTTGAAAGAGTTTAAAAATATACTTTGCAACTTTTGATAGAGGTTTAAAATACTTATTAACTTATGATGAGGATTTGAAAATGGTCTAACTCACTTAGACTTAGGAAGTTTGACAGCACATAACAAATTTTAAAGATATAGAGGGGGGTGCTCTTTTACATTTTCTTTAAACTGTACTGCATGATTTTAATGAACCTTAATCTTATATTAGGGTACCTTATTGACCTTATCCAGCAACACATACAATTGCTATAAGTATACGAAGTGGTTATGCGCAGCCGACTGCGTATAACCCTGAGAGTTATACGCAGTCGGCAAGTCACGTGAGATCAATATTCTTCCTTTGTTACAGTTACAGTATCGATTGATAAAGGTGTTTCGTTATCAGGGTGACTGCGTGGTCAAACGGTATAAACTGAGCGAATTAAAATTAAGTTGGAGGTCTCGAGTTCAATTCCAGCCAAAAGCCAGCCATGCAGTGGCGTAGCTAGGGTTGGTGTCACCCGGTGCGGTAAACTCATGGTGTCAACCCCCACCCCCCCATACCCTTCCATGATGGATTTCTTCTTGTTAAAATAAGTCCACAGTCTAATAATGACAAGAACAAAAACACATAAATTGAAGGGTCATGAGGTCAATGTATTTAAAAACTGTAACAACGTTAAGTTATAGTTTTTTCTTTTTTTTACATTAAATTTACTTCATTTAAAATGTTGCTTTTCTTTGTCTTCAAAGCTGCAAACTTGTCAATCACTTGTTCAAAATCAATATCCTTCACTGTATCACTTTCAATTAATAGCAGAGCCACATCAGAAAGCCTAGACTTTCCCAGGGTGGATCATAAATATTTATTGAAAGCCTTAGTTTTTAAAAGCTCCGCTCACAAGGCCTAGCGAGAGCATTGGAAGAAATTCAAGAAAGTCCCATTCAGCTATGAATTTCAAAACATCAAATACTGACCAGTCCATGACTTTGTGAAATTCAATTTAAGCTGCCTTTAGATGTTTTCTAAGCCTTGGTATTTCTTTTAAAAGTTCATCTTCTGATAAATCATCATAGAAATAAGTTATTTTTGGCACGGACACCAAAAACTCTTCTTCACTTGCTGATACTAGACTCTTGGGTTGAACAGCCCCAAGCATATCTGCTACTTCCTTGATCGCTGATGATCTAATCTGGAGTTCAGAATGAAAGCGATCAATACACAGCAGCAGAAAGAGTCCAGCATTTATTAATTGTTCTCCTGCCATTCCCTTTTTAAACCTTAATCTTCTCTCTACCAAAATTCAACATTTAGTGCCTTTTCAATAGCATGTTCCCCCAAGTCCCAAGTGACAGAGCTAGTCGTGCAGAAAGAATCTGAAGGCCTCTATGTTTGTCACCACTTTGTCAAGAGTAAAGCCTTTAGTCTGCAGATACTGCTGTGTAAGATTAACTGCCTCAAGTAGATCAGACCAAAGGTAATGATAGCAGATAAACACATCCATTAAAAATCGCTTTATTATTATTTCTTTTCGGATTGGCCTGAAAACCTCCATGGATTCAAAACATTTTGGCAGCATTATCGTAACCTTTAGCTCTGAACATCATTATGTCTAGTCCATCACATTCTAGATTTGTAAGAATGTTAAAACTGAGGTCATCAGCTTTTCCCTCTTAACGGGAAAAATGTAAGAAACACTTCTCTCACTTCAACTTTCCCATTGTGGATTTTCCCATATCTGATCACTTTAGACATCATGTCACTGTGTGATATATCAGGTTTGAACATAATTTCAAAATACCTCACAGCTTTTATATCCATGATAGAATCTCCTTCACATGATTTGTAAGGACATTTATAAATTCATTTTGGATTTCTGGTGAAAGGTAAAATGCGGATGCTTTTTCTGTAGATGTACTCCTCTTTAGTCTCATTTTTTGCTCTTTTACCACTGGGTCATATTTAGATAGTATCCCAACTATTTCTAGAAAGTTTCAGTGAAGATTCATCTTCGTTGTGGCCACGAAATGCCAGATTTTGCTTTGCAAGAAACAATGTGACATCCAGCAAATGTCAAGGGGCGATACTAGTGACGAATCGGGGAAAATATTTATTTTTTAATATTTCTGGGTTTCGATTTATAATATTATATATCTCTTCAAAAAAACTTATTTAAATTTAAATACATAAGAATTAATCATTAAAAGATTGAAAATTGTGTAAAAATAATATAATTTTTAACCCTATAAATGGATAAAAAATCATTTTCAATGTGTTTTCTTTTTATCGACATGATCGTATTTGGTATCAATGTAAAGCCCAATTTCTCCGAATTCAGATAAATATAGCATCCTGTCGCTTACGCAAGTTACAGAACATTTCAATCGTAGTGGAATAATGACTGTGATTCTGACCTAAACATAGGGTCATCTCATTTCTGAACCTTGAACTTTTAATAAAGCACGCATTAATTTTGGATTGTTTACATTTGTAAAAAAATGTATACCTGATCTGTTATCCTTTTATATTTCTAGGTTAGACTGAGCTCTGTAAATATGCAATTTTTCAATCGGGTGTCACCCCTAAAATGGTGTCATCCGGTGCGGTCCGCACCCCCCTCACTACGCCACTGCAGCCATGAATATGTGTTAGTTGTTATGATTGTTCTCGAGATGAAGCAAAAACAGCTAGGCTCATTGTTTTATTTTGTTTTGGCTAAAAAATGTTAAAACATGATACGAATTATTAACTTGACCAATGTATGTTGTTAATAATGTTATTCTTATAATTATCAAATATATGTTTGTGTTGTTAACATATGTTGTGTGTTGTTAACTAATTTTGTGGCAGATAAAATCATGTTTCTCTGGTACAGTAATAAATTATATAATCAGGGGTGGAGAGTAGCAGAAAAAAAATAGCTGTAGGGGCAGGGGGTTCTGTAGAGGGGGCACTTTAAGTAATACTTTCACACAGTTATAGTTTTGCATGGAAGCTTAAAACTGTTACATTTAGGTCACCAAAAATAAATAAAAATTATAAATAATATAATTTTTTTAAAAATAAATAGAATATATTTCCTGAATTAGTAAGTAAAACCAACCACATGATGGTCATAGCAACATATAAAAACCTAATCAATCAGAATACAGAACTAGACTTAGAACAAAAAAAACTAATCAATCAGAATACAGAACTAGTCTTAGACATTAAAAGTTAGAGTTCAAAACAACTCATCATGCAGCTATTTACGCATAATACTTTTTTAAAATTGCCAAACTAGTGGTAATAAACCTTATTTGGCTAAATTCCCAGCCGACTGCGTATAACCCTGAGAGTTATACGCAGTCGGCTGGGAATAACCCTCAGGGTTATACGCAGTCCACTGCGTATAACTCTCAGGATTATACGCAGCCGACTGCGTATAGCGCTTCCCATAAGTATAATATCACAACATAAAGTAACAGTAACAGACAATAACACATAAAATTACTAAATAAAAACCCAACGTAACAGACAATAACACATGCAATTACTATATCACAACAATAGTCTTTAATTCATAATTAAGTCCTGGGGGGAAAAAAACAAAACAGCACGGGTTGACAATTTTATTGGGTTACATTGGCGTAACAATAACAAATCATTTAAGGTGGGGACGCCTTCCTGCATAAAGTAATAAACTTTTAAAAATTAAACATTATCAGCAGAGTCAGCAGAGGGATCCTTTAAGTCTGGAGTTCTTTTCTTTTTGTAAGTTTTATTAAAACAACTACTGCCATTGGCTGGTAACTTAGTAGGGTTTGAAAGTGAATGCTAATGCCAATGCAACTTAGCAGGTTTTGCAAGCCAATTGTATTTTTAAATAGCGAAATAAGCGAACTTAGCAGGTTTTGATTTAAAAAACTAGTTAAATAATCTGAAATAGCACTTCATAGATGAGCCAAGGGGATTAACTCATTTTTTTCAAAAAATCGACTTAGCAGGGTTTACAATTGGACTCCTCACATAATTATGTTGAATCGGCTATTTTTAAAACTGAAATATAAAAAATGTTGTTACTTTACAAAGTCCTATCTATTATATAGGTACTTGGGTAAAAATTTCAAAATGAAGTTAAAACTTTAAGAGCTATTTGGTTAGATAGGGCCTGAAAAATGCAATTTATTGATACCAAATTTATGTTTGTAGTTCAATTCTAAAGAAAGTTATAATTTTTTTCGTGAATTATTTTGGGATAACTCTGTTAATTGAGACATATAGGAAAATATAAAAGTGACTAAAATAAAAATTGGGCAGAGATTTGGGGGAGAGATGTTGGCTAATATTAAGGACGGCTGCCACAGCATCTTTTGAGTGTTTATTATAGTTGCAGTGAATTAGGGTTTAGGTTATGTTGAGGGATCGATTTAGGGTTCAGGTTAGGCATAGGGATCGATTTAGGGATACATTCATGAAATTCGATAAAATATAGGCTGTTGTCCTTAACATTTAGCGAGATGTTAAAAAAGAGCAGTAAATTGAAGTTATCTAATTTTAATGAATTAATTATTAATGAAAATAACCATAACAAACCATATATATCCGTGATCGTCATAACATTATCCAAAATATAATGAATAATGGCAATGGGCTGTTTCAGATTTAGTGGCCCACGACGACTTTGTTTTGGATTCACTCCCCTTATTTTTTTGTTAAAAGAGTTACATTTTCGGAATTTAAATTTTATTGGTTGATTAATTAATTATAATTTTAAAATTTTGATTGGTTGGCTCATTATCATATTTTTTTTCTTCCTTCATATTTGATATCTTTGGGGTGCCTGTTGGGTGTGTAGATTTATTCATTTTGTGGCTATATTTTCGTTGGAACGTGAAATAAAGTGTGTAAAAAGTGTTTTTCATGAAACAGTGTTAGTTGGATTTTCATTATTTCTTTATGTTATAATTATTTTGGGAATTTTTTTTTTACATTTTTAAATTTTTTTTTATCGTTTTCTTGCCATGGTTTGTAAATTCCACATGTCTTTACTTGTGGCTTTAAGCGTAGTTTTAGGGTTCAGGTTAGATTTAGGGATCGATTTAGGGTTCAGGTTAGGCATAGGGATAGATTTAGGGTTCGGGTTAGGTATAGGGATCGATTTAGGGTTCGGGTTAGGCATAGGGATCGATAAGCGGTTCGGGTTAGGCATAGGGATAGATTTAGGGTTCGGGTTAGGCATAAGGATAGACTTAGGGCTCGGGTTAGGCATAGGAATAGATTTAGAGTGAGGGTTAGGAATATGGATAGATTTAGGGTTTGGGTTAGGCATTGGAATCGATTTAAGACATTTTTTTCATAAATTTTTAATGTTTTCTTCCTAATTTTAGGAAACATGAATTATTTTATTTTTCCATGACCGCCATCTTGGTTGCCTCGACCATTGAACACGTAAAATTGCGTGTGGGTGAGGCAACCAAGATGGCGGCCATGGAAATAGAGGCGGGCCGCTCTCTCTGAAATTACAGAATAATGTAATGTATATATTTATAACAGCTATCTTAACAAAGGTTAGGTTTAGGAATACATTTACTTAGATTTAGTGACAGAATTAACTACTTTTCTCAAACAAGATGGCGGCCAATAATGGCATCCACAATCACCACTTACCTGTATCTCTAAACCTAACCTGAACCCTAAAAATGTATCCCTAAACCTAACCTGAACCTGTAATTCCGTAATGTATTCCTAGACTAACCTAAACACTAATTCACGGCAACACCCAAAAAGATGTGGTGGCATCGACGACTATTATTAGTCGATAAATTTTAGGGTTCAGGTTAGGTTTAGGGATACATTTACCTAGATTTAGTGACAGAATTAACTAGTTTTCTCAACCAAGATGGCGGCCAATCATGGCATCCACAATCACCATTTACCCCCTATTCCTAACCTGAACCCTAAATCGATCCCTATGTCTAACCTGAACCCTAAATCGACCCCTCAACCTAACCTAAACCCTAATTCACTGCAACTATAATAAACAAACAAATGACGCCGTGGGCCGTGCTCTACATTAGCCATTATTTCTGATTGAAATTTGTATTATCACGTGTAAAGTTAGCCTACTTATGTCATATTCTTTATAAAATTTAGTCCAGATAACACTAACACTAAATTGTACAGCACTAACTTTGATTTTTATCTTTATAGCCCCCTTTGGTGCATAGCCGAAAACGATCCCTCCATTTTATTTTTATTTTTTTAATGGCCACCATCTTGGTTGACACAACCAGTTAATTCTGTCACTAAACCTAAACTAAATGTATCCCTAAACCTAGCCTGAACCCTAAATGTATCCCTAAACCTAGCCTGAACCCTAAATGTATCCCTAAACCTAGCCTGAACCCTAAATGTATCCCTAAACCTAGCCTGAACCCTAAATGTATCCCTAAACCTAACCTGAACTCTAAATGTATCCCTCAACGTAACATAAATCCTAATTCACTGCAACTATAATAATAAACACGCAAATGGCGTCATGGGATGATCTCTAAGAATTAGCCCAATTGGTAAACTGAAAGCATATTTACAAAAAAAGAAATAACATTTATAATAAGGCTGCAACCAGACGTGAGAGGTTGGGATTAAAAAACAATTTTTTTGGCAATCTCTAAAGTCCGGTCCCAAATTAGTTCCAATGATTTTAAGTAAGGAGTAATCATAAGTCTTCGGCTTCATTTAAAAAAAATTTCATGTTTGCGTATATATTTCTATAAATTTGTTAAATTAGGGCAGGTAGACCAGCTGCACTGATAAGCGTTAGAAGTTGATTGTTTGTTAAATTTTATGCACAGCATTGTGAGCCTAGCCCTAGGCTGGGGTACCACACTACATAAAAACACTCATAATAATAATAAAGATACTGAGAATATCATAATTAGGGTTTTGATACCATTTTTGTGTGATCGTATAACCAACCCACTCCCACTAAAAGTTTGCGTTAAAGGAGTTGGCACACATAAATTACAATATATTCTTACTTTATAAATTGTGTTGCATTATTGTAATGTATTAACACCAACAGTGTCAGATGATGGATCTTAAAAGCTGGTAAGGACTTTTCCTGGCGTTTAGAATAAAATCAAAGGCTACTTGATATTTGCAAGAGTGAATTCTGTGACATACAGAACATTGGCATAGCTAGGGTTGGTGTCACCCTGTGCAGTAAACTCATGGTGTCAGTCAACCCCCCCCTTTTTTTTTCTTCGTCCTCCACAATGAATTTCTTTATGTTAAAATAAATCCACAGTATAACTTATAACAATGACAATAACAAAATCAAATAAATTGATGGTCAGGAGGTAAATTTATTTACGGACTGTAACAATGTTAATTTATAGTTATTTTTGGATCAAATTTACAATTTACTTCATTAAAAAATTTCTTTTCCGTGGGTTCACTTGTAACGGGTTCGGTTATCTTGTGTTCAGTTGTCGTAGGTTCAGCTGTCGTGCGTTCAGTTCTCTGAGAACCAATTATTTTCGTTGCTACTTCATAGCTATAAGTATATCATCATATGTGTTTTCAGATGGCCTTAGGCAATCCATGAGAAAGGGTCGTGAGGCCCCGAAAGGGTATAGTAGATTAATAGGCCATAATAGTTTAGGCCTATTTTTAATATTCTACCTTGCTTAATATTTAAAACTAACCTGGTACAGGAATATCAATTAGTAGACCTGAGGACCAAGGGCTATATTTTATAATATATTATCACACATAAATACAAGTGTTAATTTGTTTGTTTGTTCCGCAAAAGCTTTTACATGGATTGATGGATCTAGAAGTCTTGATCAAACTTGGCACATGTATCCATAATTATCAAAAATCAAATCCTGTGGGGTTTTGAACTTTTTATTATATTCCTCTTAGGGCCAGGGACCCTAAATTCGTTTTTTCCCTGATATATGAGCAATATAAATAAAATTACCAACTACTCCTTCATAGTACAAAACTTAGTGTTGTTCGTCCGTCGAGGATTGACGATGACCATCGAGTCATCTAGTGACTGATGACTTGCGCGGGTGACTTTTGTTTAAAGTGAGGAAGAATTGCGCAGCGTCAACCTCACTCTCTCGTCCGAGCCCACCATATCCAGTGGCAAGACTCTACGTCAAGACGACCAGGGATGGGTACGGTTGCAGGAATTGACATTGTATGCGCCTTACGGGACTCCAACTCCGGGTTTGAATTCAGAGTTTCCTTCTCTTAGATGAGTTGCCGACCAAGGTTAACGAGTCTCATCCACCCGGGGTGATGTTTTTGCTTGACCGGCCTTTGGCTGAAATTGAGGTTTTCTCAGTTTAGACCATTCAGCCACCCAGTCACCCATGCAGTGAATGACCATGGCGTTCTACGTGTCTGGTCATGTTCTCAGCGATTCACACCACTGTGCTGTCTCCGCCTTTTGTCCGTTGACCAAGTAGTGGTTCTTCCGCACAAAAGTCACCCATGCAGTGAATGACCATGGCGTTCTACGTGTCTGGTCATGTTCTCAGCGATTCACACCACTGTGCTGTCTCCGCCTTTTGTCCGTTGACCAAGTAGTGGTTCTTCCGCACAATTTGCCGGATTCAGTCTTTACAAAACTTAGTAAGCTGACACTTAATTATCCATATTCAAATATCAAAGGTTTTGAAACTCATTGTCTGCTCCTTTGGATAAATATTGAAAGACTTGGACAACACTACAGGTTCTGTGTGAATTAATGGACCTAGTTCTAGTTTGGTAGCAATACCAGACATAGTCTTTTTTTAAATATATTGGGATTTAAAACTAATAGTATCCAATCCATTTTGAGGCGGGCTAGAATTTCAGAAATATTTAAACCTATTGTAATGGACAATTTCTCAACTTTAACTGCTTTATTTATCTTAGGGACTTTTATAGGGCCCCAATCTCAGGCATAACTAATACAGACATATGGACTGGGTCCCACCCGAGCCCCTATTTTAACATAAATGAATAATGGATACAGTTATGTATTTAGTTTTAGAATTTTTCAAATTCACAGAATAATTATGTTGAAATTCATTTTTCAAAGGTTTTGTGGAGGTTGTTAAATTTATTCTAGAATTTAAAAAAAATAATTAAATTCTTTGTTGTTCCACTGGGATATGTGATGGGATTTAAAAGGTTATTGAAATGTTATAAATTTCTATTCATTTCTATAGTTTCATGGGTATTATATCAGTATCACTGAGACATTTTTTCATAAGTTTCATAAAGTTTCCAGATTATTCTAGAAGCTTTGATTTTTACTATAATCTTTTTAAGATTATATCAATGGCCCTATCATGTTTATTATTTCTCTTAAACTTTCAATAATTTTCCTTGAATGTTATGGAATACGAATTAAAGATAGTTTTTGGAATTTCAAGAAAGTTTGAGATTAATTGTTGATTATTAAGGCCTAAGCTATACACATACATGAAGTTGAAGGCCCAGGTTACTGTATACATTTCTATGTGTATTGATGGATCTTGGCAAAAGTTTGGTAAATATACCTTTGATAATCCCACCAGGGAACGATATCCCACTGGGAACTTAATCCAACAAATGAATAAGATCCTAACTGGGATCAGGATCCAAAGAAGAAAAAGTAATCCCACCTGATATCAGTATCAAGACAGAGAATAGGTCCTAATGTAAAACAGATTTCACAGGGAAGATGATCCCACTGGTTACGGGATAAAAAAATGAACAAATCAAATCGGGGAAAGGGATCCCAGTGGGAATGGAATCTCATCAGGTATTAAATCCCATCAGGAAACTGAATTCAAATGTAAAAGAGAACTTTTCAGGGAAATAGGAACTCATGGGGATCCCAAAGGGAAAGGGTCACATATGCATCCCCACACGAGGGGGAACTCATCAGGATATGATATCGCCTATGAAATGGGATGCCATCATGATCAGGAAAGAACTAGGAACCATCAGGATATATAATCCCATTTCAAAATGAGATTCCATTGGGACTGGGAAAGGAATGCAATAGGTAACATGATCCCACCGATCGCATCAGGATAATCACGATCTTGATCAATTACTAGGAAATGGGATCACACCTTGGAAAGAATCCACTGCCGATTAAGATTGGAAAGTAAATGGGATCCCTGTGGGATCATACAATATAAATGTCTTTTTAAGAGGAGAAAGTGTAATGATTTACAGACCCCTTAATTTTGATGTTATCTTAAATGCTGTAGAAATAGTTTTTTTCTGAATGCAATTGTTGGCCACGCCCCTTCGGGTATATTGGCTAGTTAAATTAATGAAATATAGTCCTAGGTCCTGAAGCTTACTAATTGAAAATATTTTCTGTACCACTTAACTTTTTTTACATTTAAAAAGAATATTTATAAATTATGTTTTATTTTACTTTTACACCACATATTTCAGTCTTCTTTAATTATTATCTACCAGTTTTATTTTTCAATTCTGTTTTTGCAATTTATCCACACAGGAAATAAACATCTTTTGAAAATCAAGTGGAAGTAAGGCAAAAGCCAAAGGACCTAGAAAAGGAAAAAAAAATGCTGGCTGTTTTTTTGTGTGCATTATTATGTGTTCCTTTGGCCTTTATTCAAGGTAAATTTTCTCAATCTTACATTTTAGAGCATACTATGTCATAATTTAGTACTGTGTTGAAATGATTTCTATTGATAGCTGTAGGTTGATACCTCTCAAATGAGTTATTCACATATTTGTGACTAAGGGTTGTTATGTTTGATTCAGTTCACTCACCAAAGGACATAATTATAATCATATTCACTTATGCATATATAATATATTTCAATGGAATCCATAACAAAATGTCATGAAAAGAACATATTTATTTTTTGGCTTTACAACACTTCATGTAAGTTAAGGATATGAGATACCTTTGCATATAATTTATATCTAGGTTCTATGGACATTGGCCTGCCTTATTGCCTAACATTATTCATTATCATAATATTTGATTGCTGCGTAACAGACTTTTATATCATCATGCCGTTAAAAACGTATAAATTAAAAATTATTTCAATCAATGTGCAAGGTCATTTCAATGTTTGAAGTGGTTTATCTAGTCTTTTCCATTGTGGCTTCTCGTGGCTTATTCTTCCTGATGGGTGCTATATTTGAAATGATATAATAAAAAAGGTTAAGAAAGCTGCAAACAAATAACCCCCATGAGTAATTATTATTTGCAGAAGCTCCTACAAATATTTACGTGATTCTGCTTAGTTAACTACATAGGTGTTCTATTTATTTTTACCCAACACTTTAATCAAAAAAATATATTTGCTTTTCTGAGTTTTTTTCATTAGAATTAGACATTTGGGGCATGGGGAAAACTTGAATTTGCAAAGCTGCCAAGAATTGAAAAAATGTAGGAACCACTAGCATAGCCGAACAAAATAATTATGTCACATGCACAGAAAAATAGTAACAAACAGTAGACTAAATATTAATATATATATCTTAATGTCTATATATTATGTGTTCACTTGTGAAAAAGGAAAACACAATTTTTTATTTTTTAAATATATAAATAGCAATTATTAAAAGCTTTATAGGTCAATTTTATTATTCCTTGTAAAAAAAATATTAGGCCTTTATAACTCTGTAAAGTCCAGTGTTTTTTTTTTTTTTTTTTTTTTTTTTTTTTTTTTTTTTTTTTTTTTTTAAAAAAAAAAAAAAAAATTTTTTTTTTTTTTTTTAAAAAAATTTTTATTTTTTTTTTAAAAAAAATTTTTTTTTTTTTTTTTTTTTAAAAAAAAATTTTTTTTTTTTTTTTTTTTTTTTTTTTTTTTGTTTTTGTTTTTTTTAGGTCAACTCACATACCAGATAAAATAAAAAGAGTATTTAATTAATACCCATCATGTCACATATTCAATTCTTCAGAAATTAATGGGAAATTCATATTTTATAAACTGTGCTTGAAACTGATTTTCGTTATGTTTTCATTCATGATTGAAGGTTGAAAATGACTATATATTTCAACAACCATTTTTACACAAACATGCAGTAGTGTAAGAAGGGGAAAAAACTAGAGAAGAAATATTTTTAAAATTCTTGGTATTTATTTCTGCAAGATGATGTACAAAAAAAGAATGTTTCAACTGTAACCAACATTTAAAAAAAAAAAATATGTGTACATGTCAAATAGTGTTTTTTATTGTTAAATTAAGACAAACAAACATGCAGTAGTGTAAGAAAGGGAAAAAACTAGAGAAGAAATATTTTTAAAATTCTTGGTAATTATTTCTGCAAGATGATGTACAAAAAAAGAATGTTTCAACTGTAACCAACATTTAAAAAAAAAAAAATATGTGTACATGTCAAATAGTGTTTTTTATTGTTAAATTAAGACTGGTGTACAAATTGTTCATATTCAAAGTTTTAACCCCATTTTATAGTATTTAAAAGTTTTTGTTTAATAGAACTATATTTCATTACATTAAAAAAATAATTTGAATAATTTTGTTTTTAAATTATAGCAATTTTAATAAAAAATAAATACCTAGAATAATATTAATAGTAAAGCTAGAGCTTACATCACTGAGTCAAGCTAAAAAAATACAAATCCAATCTAAGAGTCTTATAAGCTTTGGGGATGTTCAAGCAATAAATCATTATTTTCCTTATTTTGACAGAAATAGTTTATCACATTTCAAAAATTTATTACAATAAAAGTCTGATGCTCTTTCTTTTCCAGTAAGATACACTAGGGCATTGAATGAGCTCATTTGCATACATCTAATTAAAGGAAAACAAATGTAGAGTTCTGTAATTTTTTTCTTCCAGTAAGTGTACAGGAACTTTTATTAGCATTGACGTATTAAAAATTTTTCAATATTATCTCATGACAGAAGAACAGTTTGAAGAAATTTCCTGTAGATGATAAATTGCAGGTTAGCATGGCATTAAATAAGCTTACCAGATTTTATGGATGCCAAGTATGGATACAAAGGCTCATAGCATCCGGAACCATAGCGGGGGTGGTGGGGGGGTGTTGTGCTTGACTTTTTTTGCCCCCCCCCCTCCCTTTCCTAACCCGTACTTACAAGAAACTTTCAGCCCCCATTACCATAAAAGCACCAAAGAAATCAAATAATTTAATAGATAATTGTGACGTCACAGGAATAAAAGGAGTTGCTACCACCGACATTACGGCCAGCCCACTGGTTCCCATATATAACCGCCGCTCTGAATGCCATGTTCCCCTGGGGCAGAGCCATGAGAATAGAGCAAAGAGGGCAGTCACAGCAGTCGCCAATATCTTTTTTAGATAAGATCTTAATAGTGAATTGAAATATCAACTCCCATATACTTATGAAAGAAGAGGGGTGCCAAAAATCACCTTTTTTTTTACTGATCCGCCCCTGGGGCACTTTTTCTATAAATTAAGTGGCACCATTTTCCAGCTTTGATCCAGGAGCAGCATTTCCTCTACAGCAAAAAAAACAACAGTAAAAACAAAACGAAATAAAAATGCCTCTTAACTGAAAAGTAGTATCTGAGGGGGCAGCAAAAGTGAAAACCTAAATTTGTCATAAAGTGCAGGGAATCAAAACATTATAGGATCCACTGAACTAGCACATTGAAGATATGGTGGACGAAATATTACTGTAATACAACTACTATTGATTTCTATTGAAGAAATGTCTAGCGAGTTCATTTGTGAAAAGAAATGTCAACAAAATGACAATAGTTCCTATACAGCATTGCATGATATTTTTACAGCATTGGAGATATAAATATGCTATTTTTGGACTGTCAGATGTAGCTTAAACTATTCACTGTGCTTGCCTTGACGGAGAAGTAAGATAAAACAAATGGAAATAAGGCTAGTAAGTCCTCACTTCCAAAAGTATGGACAAGCCGGTTACCGAGAGGAAAGTATGGACAATTACGTAAGCAAAAATTAGTACAGACAAAGGGGTTGAAAATACAAACTATCCGTACTAAAGATGTCTGGTAACCCTACATAAAAGCAGGATTTTATTGATATAGCACACATATCACAATAGTATAATTGTTATGTATAACGTTTTACACCATTTCCCTGTGCGTGAACTTTGCTTGATCTTAAATTAGATTCCTAAGCAGATGCTCGGTTGATAGATGGGCGGGGCTAGTTCTTTTGATCTGTCGTGTTTACCAATTAAACATGGTTAGACTGTCTACTAGTATCTTATGGAACGTTCTCGATTGTATTAGAAAAGTAAGGATGTTTCTTAACGCGTCGGTAGACTCACATATACAAGGGATTGACAGGAACATAGAGTGACGGAGATTGAAAGATATTTTTAACTTAACGAGAGCTGTATTATTCTTTGTGTACTTATATGTGTTTATTTCGCATTCATCATTATTAATTAGCACATTGTACTAATTGTGTCCCGGTACAAGATCTACCATACTCTGTAAACTGATGATTTATACTTAAACAAATTTTATTAATTGTAATTACTACTGTTGGGTGTCTTAATTTTGCTATTGTTTTTCTATGCTATCGTCCTTTGTTTTGCACTGTTTGAACGAGCCATAACTTAAAACTAGAGATTAATTTCTCACAATAGAAGCCAGTGCCTAACAATAACTGTAAAATAATATAACTTATTAAATAATTATTATAATGGTAGGATAAAAAAAAAAGTGTAATTTTTGGCCAAAGTTATAAATCATATATAAAATTCAAAATATATGGTCTGTAGCATATATCTCATTCATTAGAACTGCAATTATAATATCAAATATTCCTTACCTGGAGTTTTAGGGTTTTTTTGCAAATCATTTCTTGTTGCCTGCTTTTCAGAACCCAGAATATACAGACTAGAGATCTTTTTTTTTTTTTTAAAGTTAGTGTCTCTTTATTTAAAAATAATTATTTTGTATATTATATTTTTAATCACCTTAAATTCGTTTTGTTTCTTCTATGAGCTATATTAATAAATTTAACTCATAATATCCATTCGTCTGGGCAGGGCCAAAATTCATCTTTCCTTGTATTAGTTATATAAATACAAATAGTCTTAGACAACACTACTGGTTCTTTGTGAATTGATGGATCTAGGCCTAACTTTGTCACATTATCCTTTATAGTCCATAATGACATATGGTGGATTTAAAATTAATAATATCCAATCCATTCAGCGCCGGTCTTGAATTTTCCACAAAGTTTGATAATATAGCTATGGCATTTTTAAACCCTTATTTATGAGACGACTTTTAAATTTTAACTTTATTATTTGTCTGATTTTTGTATGGAAAACTTAATTGGTACAATTATGGAATAGGCCTCGCTGGGACCTCTCTTTTAACTTATATGCACTTTAGTTATAGTAGAGCATATTTAGTTGTATAATTTTTTCATATTTGAAAAATAAATACGTAGAAAAGGAAAGTTTTACATGTTTCGATAAGAATATTAAATTTAATCTAGAATTTTCCAGAAAGTTCTGTATTGTTCTAAGGTGCTATATAATGGTATCTAAAATCTTATTGAATTGTATGTTTAGCTCTTTTCATTTCTTTGAGGATTTTCTCTGAACCTACCATTCATAATCCTACTGGAAACAAAATCTCACAGGAAACATACCCACCTAAAAGTCGAAATGCTATAGAGAAACAGGATCCCATTGGAGAAGAGGATCCCACTGGAAAGTGGACCCCACAGAGAATGGGATCCAAATTGGATCAGATTCCTATTAGGATCGGAATCCCTACTTAATACAGAATCCCACCATAATCGGGACCCACCGGCAAATGGTACCCCTCTGGGAAATGGGATCCAAAGCGGGAAACGGAATCCACCAGGATCAGGACCCAAACAAGAAATGGGATTTCATCAGGATTGTGATCCCAATCTTATCAGGAACCCACAGAGATCAGGACCCAATGGGAAACAGGATCACACAGGTATCATGTTCTAACTGGGATTGGGATCAAATAGGGATCCCACTGAGATCAGGATCCAAACCAGGTCGGGATCCCCCATGAAAAGGATACCATTGGAAAATGCGATCCCATCTGGAAACAGGATTATAAATTTGTTTTTATAGGAAACAAGTTAATTATTTTATTTTTATTATAGAATTTTTTGGTTATTTTTACATGGCGCTTGATTTCAATGTTAATTAAAATGTTGTAAAAGTCTTTTTTCTGAATGCAATACTGGGCAATGATGGGTATTTTGTCTTGTAAAGATATAATTATAAAATATTTAATTTAGTACTGAAAATTTTTGGAAGTTTGGTGTTATGACACAGGATGGCTTGTTTTCCCTAAAAATTATACTTCAAAAATATCTTATGTTAAAATCAACTTAGCTTTTGTTTCAATTGGAATTGTACTCCAATGTTTCTTAACCTTTACTACACCATGCATCACCTAAAAAGGTTTTATCCCCCTACCCCCTCCCAATTCCCCTAGTAGAAGAGCTGAAAAAAAAGAAGAGATTATCATGTTGCAGTCTGGTAAATTGAATTTAAATTTTCCTGTGTGTTTAGGCCTTGAGATTTAACTATGTAGCGCCAATGTAGGATCAAATTTACAATAGGGGAAATATATATTGTTGGCATTAAATGACAAACAATGACAATAGCTAATTGAAAGTGCCCCTTTTAACATTTCTTTTTCTCTCTTTCTAAATGTAAATACACTTACTTTTTCAGGAATTAATACCCCCCAAACCACCCACCATTTTATCTTTATATTGGTCCCTTTTCTGCTTTTGCACGAAAATGGGAAATTAGGTCAGTGTCTTACTTGGAATGTTTATAAGAATAGTTGTGTTGTTTTTCTTATGCTGAAAATGTAAAAATGTTATTAAACATATTTCAAATTATTTACAGCAATAACAGATTCTAGTTTTATTTTAATAACTCATTGAAATACTGAGCCCATTGATGAATCATACTCTGTCTATGGTTAATATTATTTACGGTACTTAGTTAATTTATATTATTTTAACTGCATTTAGCATCTGGGATATATATTTAATACGAAACTTTTGTTACAATGTAGACACAAGCACATTTTTTAATCAGTATGTTATAATTATAAGATTTAATATATTCATAAATTGATCATATGAATTGTTATTTCAATTCTAATTACAGCTTTTAACAATCATTATACATGTTACTAAAAATATTAGAAAAAATGCAGAATAAAAATATGCCATGTGAATACTCAGTACCAATACTTGTAAGTTTTAAAAAAATATGTGTCTGGGCAAAAGCAATACTTTTCATTAATAAAGAAGTTTTCTATGAAGGACATTGCTGGACAAAATATTAAGAAAATCATCTTTTAATGTTAGAGCTTTTTGGGGAAAAAGCTTTTCCAAATTTGTTACTGAAAATTATGTATTCTTATGTTTAGTGCTAAATACAATTATCAATGTTAATTAATATGTACCCCATATTGAAAGATGATTTTATAATTTTTTTTTACAATTTACAGGGTTTGAGAATGGAGCAAAAATAAAATTGAATGAATACAAGCAAGGTGACAGTGATACCAGATGCAAATATGGCCTGATCAGTGGTGTTGATACAATTGTGTTTAAAGCTGATGTTGATTACAGCAGGGATACAACAATGAAATTTGTGCAGTTTTATATACAGCAGAAAACAGATCCAATTCCTGTCCTTGTAAGTCATTTAAATAATTTGAACCATAAACTATCAATTTTAGTTAACAGCAGTCATTGTGGAGTATGGGAGTTCATTAATAATTGTTGCGACTGAATATTATGTTTCATTATGCGGTGTGTGTATGAAAGATTAATTAGTTAATAAACCCTCTCCCTGCGGTTGACTTAGGGACGTATTTGTATGCTCATAATGACATTTTATCTGTTTTGTGACGTATGGTATATTCGTCTAGCAGTCATGAATGGAACTTTGTTGACGAAGGATGTGTTAGTGCGTTTTAGGCATGTATTTATGGAATCAACAGTCTGTGAAGTTACATTATATATTAAAGTTGTATTTATTATGAAAAATGACTTTAGTAAATTAGTATGACATCAATATCAAAACAAAGTGTTGGTGATTACAATGCTTAAATTAGGACTAGGCACTTGCCATAATACACTGTGCAGTAAATAAATAATAGAACAAGATATGTTTGAATTTGAAATAACAGGACAATTTAACATATCTTCTTCCATTTTTTTTTTTTTTTTTTGACTTTATTTTAAACAGACTCATAAATTTTGTCCTTTTGGAACATGTTTTAGTTCAAATTTTTGACATAGCTTGAACGGTCTTTTATATTTTTTCCATTTTGAAATAACAGGACAATTTAACATATCTTCTTCCTTTTTTTTTTTTTTTTTTTTGACGTTAGTTTGAACAGACTCATAAATATTGTCCTCTTGGAACATGTTTTAGTTCAAGATTTTGACATAGCTTGAACGGTCTTGTAAATATTTTCCCTTTGGAACTTGTTTTAATTCAAGATATTTCTTGCAGTGATGATATAAGCTCAATTCCTCTCTCAGTTCTCTCAGCTGATCAGTATGACACAGAAGACGGTGGAATCAGTTAAGCACTGGATGACCACAAACAAGCTCAAATTGAACAATGATAAGACTGAGCTGCTCCCCATCGCGACCGCTCAGAAGCAAAAATCCGCAAATAACACGACATCAATTACTCTCTCAGGTGTGCGTATTGAGTTAGCTCAAACAGTGTGGTACCTGGGTGTCTACCTAGATAGAAGACTAACCTTGGAATGTCACATTAACATGCTATGCAAGGCGATTTTTCTAGAGCTGCGAAGGATTAGTCACATCAGGCCCTTCCTAACAATTGATGCAACAAAGAGGTTGATGTCTGCATTTTTGCTATCACGCATGGACTATTGCAATGCTCTCATGGTGGGTCTTCCAGCTACGCTCTTGGATAAAATTCAATTAGCACAGAATAATGTGGCTCGCATTGTTCTTCGCAAACGCAAGTTCGACCATGCTAAAACACTTCTGAGAGAGCTGCACTGGCTGCCGGTCCTTGCTCGCATAGAGTACAAAATCGTTGTGCTACCGCTGCTTACATAGCCTGGCCATGTCCTATCTGAAAGAGCTGCTGACGCCTTATGTACCCACTAGACAAGACAACTCTGCTCATCCGACAGTGGCAAACTCTCGACACCACGTGTTCACCTTGAGACTTACAGAAAGCGCACTTTTGCATTTGCTGGTCCAACAATTTGGAACACCCAGTCGATCTCAGAAAAAATCAGACACTGGAGTCCTTTAAAACTGATTTAAAGACACATCTATTTCGCAAACACCTTCTGGGATGATTGTCTACCATATTTTCCATTTAATGCATATTGGCTGTGTTGCTTAGGGTTGCAATGGGTAGAAAGACTTTGACTTGGTATGCTTGTAATCAGTTTTTGTAGTGTTGCGTTTTTTTAAAATGTGGTAAATTATAGATTTGTTTATTGTTTTTTTTACTTTGTACCGCGCTTCGAGCTTTTAGGGATGAAGCGTGTTTTTGAAATAAACTTTATTATTATTATTTAATTCCTATTAGTTTTAACCATATATGTTATAAAATAACAATTAATATGCTATTTAAAGAACAACTTTAACTTTTGAGAAATTCAAATAAAGTTAGTACTTGACTCTTTTTGCTAGAAATTGTATTAACCATGACTGCAGCATTTTTATAAGGTGCATAGCTGCTCATTGACTTACATTTGTCCTTAAAATATAAATAACTATTGTAATTTAGAGAACATCCGAGAAAACGTACAAATGTTTTGCTAGTATTACTTTTTCTTTGTTGTTGTTGCTCAATTTTAGCTCTGGTTAATTTATTTCTGTAAACCTTAACTAACATTTCTATGATATGCACACTTTTTTTTTTACACAGCTTATACATTCATGAGTATTCATTTCTCAGATATAGATATATCTCAGATATAGCAAGATAGATAAATCTCATATAGAGATTAGATTATTAGATATGTTATATCTATAATGATTTGATCAATATTTTAATTAAAAATATTGTTTTATTTCAGTATATTGTATTCAATTTTCAAGAAAACTGCAAGGGCTATGACACCTACAGTTGCACACATACAGGTCCAACTACCTTAGATATTGAAATAAGAGTTAGCGCTTCAAAAGATTACAGTGGTGCAAAGATTTATGGAAAACTATTTCCCTCAGAATCTTTTGAGATAAACAGTGAATATCAACGATTTCCTCAAATCTATGGTACAATAACATCATTTCTACTTTTACATTATATAAGGCATAGAGTGTTTGTTAATGCTTTCTTATGAATTGATAAATGAGCACAAAAACTAAATGGAAATATATTTAGAAATTACTGATAACTCAATTGTAATAACTACAAGTCAACTTAGTTCTGCTTATAATTTTTAATTTAGTTTGAGTACATCTACACATATTTGCATTCATTATATGACAAATGATCATGTGATGGATGTAGCATGGTTTTTATTTGGAAATTGTCTAGTTTTATTAGCCATGCAGCTCTATACAATGAACACCAGATGTGTGTTAGAAAACACAATTGTGGCATCAAACTTCCTGAACCTCTCAACTGTTGTGTGGCATTCTCTTGCCTAATGTGCAGTATTCCTTAATCTACAAATTTATTGAATTTGGTGTTTTCACATATGAAATCTAGTTTCTCTGTAGGTTCTGGTTGCTCCATTGCTGTGTACTGTGTAAAGCCTGTCAATGGCATACTAAATTCAATAACACTCTTTATTGCACCTCTGTAGAGAGCCCTAGATAGTCATGCAACTGCTCTCTTGATGTAAAGATTTAGTTTGAAGGCTAGAGCCCTCCATGATTTGTAGCATCCTTAGCAAGTAGCTAAGAAAATATAGTTTTTTTTAAAAGTTTTTATTTCAATTACAAATTTGTGCACACATAAATATGGGTTGATACCTTTCCCTGTTTCCAATATGACCTTGTATGCAATTTCTATAAATATCTAACTCTCCCAAAGTCACCCTCAATATTAATTTGTAAAAGAATATCTCTTCTTCTATACATTAACGGCCCACAATCAATTTATTGATCATTTTGGCTCCTATGCATGTAGAGGGGATTTGCAATAATTCTGTGCCTGGTGTTGATGAGGACATTTCTTTAAAATAAACTAAAAACAGCAACTAACAGCCTAGACTGAAATTTTTTTTAAAATATGAAAACCTTTTTTTTTTACAAACAATATTAAAACAATAAACAAAACATTTCTTGTAATTAAAGTTTACTCTTTTTTAATCAATGCCCTGAATTAGAATATTTATAGGCCTAGAAGTTAATAATTTAGTAACAAGTTTGTTCATACAATTCTAAACTATTCTTTTAATTATTAAATATAAACACTTAATATAAATATTGCCAACGTGTTCATTAAAAAATGACCTAATATTTTTCTTTTTTCAACTTCTTTTAGATGCCACTGATGTGTCTGGTAAACTATTGATCAATGGGAAAGAAATCCTTATCAACAGTGAAGATTGTATGATCAGGTTAAATGAACCTGAAATAAACATTGTGTTTAACTGTGAGAGTCGAGCGTCTCCATGCTGGACTAAGATTTCAACAAATGATTCCTCTGCAGATGCTGTCCAAGGAGTAGGTCTTACTGTATACAATAAAAGGCTGGAACATTTACAAGATCTATTCATCACAATCAAATATGGTGTTTGCAGTTTAAACTTCACTGTCAATACTATTGGGTGTAAAATAAAACAAGGTGAGATATAGTGTTGTTTTTTTTACAACAAAGCCAGCTTTTTAGAAGAGTGAATTTTAAATGAATATCTTGTTTGTCAATCCATATAAGTAATTTTTACATCAGCAAAATTTTAATTAATTTTAAAAAAATAATTAAAATCTGAATTAAAAACGAAAATAAATTAAATTTGCCTTTATCACCCATGAAAAATTTACTGGCCACATAAAAAAAAAGTTTGATTTGACCAACCTTGGATTCCTTATGCGTAGAAAACATTTAAATAACCCAAAGCCTTATCTTTATATTTAAGTATTGCAAGATCTTTGTTACTTACTGTTTTTAGGATAGAGAATGTAATCTCTTATTTGACTATATGGCTTATTGACAAAAAGTACACAACATAACCTGATACCATAAATTAAATACAATACTAAAGAAAACGATACCTAGGGCTAATTACAAGTAATAATTTGATGAGGTTAATTAAATATTACAAAATCAAAAAAATATAAAAACTAAAGCTATTGACTTTCAGAATTCTACTTATACAGACCATTGATTGTTTTTAATTGTAAACAAGGTCAAGGGAGACTATTTTTAATTAGCCACACCCAAAAGTGGTGCCGAACTTGGAGTAAGCCAAAGTTCATGTACAGGTAAAGATGACGTAAGCACATCATGTACATAACATTGTTAAATGCTGAAAGATGCACTTTGCATGAACAAATTTGCATGAAGATGGTGAACTGCCAGACCTGAGCATTATTACATACACTTAAAATAACAGTTCAGAAATTAATTACATTAAAATGACAGAATTGGAATTGAAATGATACCTTGCATTAACAGCCAGACCCCCAACTATTTAAATAGTTGTAAATATTTGTGTTATAAGTTATAATAAATTCTATCATCCAGATTGTCTTACTTTTCCATCATTTTATTCCAAATCTCTTTTCTTCTGATTCATATAATATCTCTAATTTTATTTTCATTCTTTTCCATTCTTGCCTTCAAGTTTTTCTTTTCCAATTATGTGACCAACTACCAACTAGAGTAAGATATTGCGCTCAGTATATCTTTAATACAACTGTCTTGGTTATTTTCTTTGTCCATATGACTCTTCGCTTTCTTGTAGAGAACCACATTTCTACACTATCTAAAGATTATTTTTGTACGATCTCAATCCATGACAATAAAGAAAATATAGGTTCAATATAACAATAGATTCTAGTTTTTTATTGATGCTAGTATATAATTTAATTTAAAGCATTTGTGATTTCATTTGGGCATACCTTTCTTGTATGTATTACACCAATCATCTCACATTATGACAGTCCACATATAATTGAAGGTATTAACATGAGCTAACTAAGATTAAATTGTGGTTGATCCTTATTCTGCATTCATGGATGTTTACATTGTTTCTTGATGTGCTGCCACTTAGTCCTTATATCTCATTGACTGTTTCTACCTAAGCCAGTAGTATATGTGTAGTCTCTACCTAAGCCAGTAGTGCTTGCAGTCTTTACCTAAGCCAATAGTATATTTGTAGTCTCTACCTAAGCCAGTAGTGCTTATAGTCTCTAGTTGTTTTCTCTATTTACAGTGCCTATAAATTTTCAACCATGCAGTAAAATTCTCACCCAGATCCAACATATAAATATACTTATGACAAATTTGTTTTCTTTTATTTATGGTCTTAAAAAATATAAATGATGAAATCCATCAATGCCATCAACAGAACTAAGAACATCTACAGAGTCTCACAGCAACAAGATTGATTTACAGTCACTGTGGATCATAATCATCTTTGTATCTATTGCTACTTTGATGTCAATTGCGCTGTTTTTGTTGTAAGTATCACTTCAAATTACTTTTGTTGGTTACACAAATAAAATTCTGTGTTTGTTTTAATGGTCCTTTAATTATTTAGCCTTAAAATAGTTTTTTAAAAAACTAAGCCAGCAAGTCTTTGTATGATTTAAAAAAGCTGTTAAAATGAGAAATATTGTGGACAAGATACGTGGCGGTTATTGAGCCAACAAAAACATTTTACTTGGTCAGCCAGATCTGAATTTTCAAACTTCTTTACAAAAGCTGAGTGTCTCAGAAGACTGCTATCTGTAATCATGTTACATGAACACAAGCATTGCATATTCTGTCCTAGCAATGGAGACTTTCTATTCGCCACTAGAGAAAAGCAAATATGTATGCTGGGATGGAAAACACATTGAAATAGTCTTCTACATATTCCTCACATTATATCTGTAATATGAAATTTAGATCCGCACTAAGTATGGCACTGAACTGTTCACGAATACCCATCTGCCTGTTAAGTCACAAAGCTTAATATCTGTCAAATGATCTAGTCAACTTCAAAGCCTTAACTTCCCATTTAGAAAGTCCATTACATAAAAATTAAGGTTCAATACCTTGTAAATCACTTTCCTTTATGATCATAAGGACTTTGGACTGGCTCAAAAGAAAACAAATATATGTCACTGTTCAAGAAGCACACTCCCACCATCTTTGCTTAGAAGTACATCCAGGAATTTTTTGAAACTTCACTTAATTTGTATTCATCATCTTTGGCTCATTCATCATCTTCAAATGCATTGTTGAAGAGGTGAATGTCAAGATCATGTCAGTTGCAGCAAGATTTGCCATATTAATTGTATTATTTTGTGTATATCTTGTACAGTTTATATATATTACTTTTATAATTGTTATTTCAGGGTGATTTTCTGGTACTGGCATTTGGTAAAGAAAATAGCAAGATTAAGAAAGGTAATTGTATTTCACATAGCATGTCTACTTTAAATACATAAAATTGACTAACTTCTTACTTTATTTACTTTAATCTCAAACATATTTTAAAATAATTGTAAATAAATGCCTGGTCTAATCATTGTTTCTCAACCTGGTCATTTACATTGTGCCACCCTCCTCCCCCATCTACATATAATGTACATAATGAAGGGGACAGGGAGGTGGGTAGATGACTTTTGAGATTTTGCATAGTGGGTGAAGGGGAATCTTGCCAGAATGTGTACTTAATTTTTGCACAAATTCTGTTCAAATAACCCAGAAAGTCTGAGCATCTATAAATGGTATTTTTATACCTCTAATAAAACAGTCACATACTAATTTGTGAAATCTATGATTTTTAATTATGTTCGTAATCTATAAAAATTTTACAAAACTGTTTTTTAATTATCATCATCCTGTTGCTTTCTACCTTCACAAGTGAACTGGCTAGATACCGGTTTTATAACAAAATATTTTGGCTTGCAATAGCTTTAATTCTGCCTTTTGCTTTGTTATTTAATTTGTGACCTAGCCATTTGTTCAACTTAAACATTAGTCAGCAACCAATGATTCTATAATAGATTCTGCTCCATTTTTTAAAAAAAAGTGTGGCTCCTAAAATATTTTATTGGCAATATCATATTTTGAAATAGCTCATCACAGACCCCTGTGCTGCATCAAAGATTGTATTTAAATAGACTGCAGAGAAAGCCTGTTTCACAAGTTTCAACATGGCTTATGGTGACTTGGTTTAATTGCAGTTTAAGTCGCTTGCGAAGTTCCTAATATAAATAGCATTTCCGAAATCCCAGATGTTTTGAATATTGTTAAGGTTGCAATCTCAGTTTGGGATAACAAAATATGTCATATATCTATCTTACATAGTTCCGTGCACATTGTTAATATCACACTTGGCATGTGACAAATTCCAAGATTAACATGACTAACTTAAAATTCTATCTACAGTGAGGGTTCTAAGCTATTATATGGAAACTTATGTGTGTTGATTGAAATTTTTTTTTGCGTTTTCTTGAATATGGTACTGCATCAAATATTTAACCTTTACCTTAACATATCAGATTCCCAACCCACTTTTTATCCCTCCATCTTTCCTTTTAGACCAAAGAAGTAATATGCTAGCATTTTATTAATTAATCTCTTATGAATATAATAAATTTCCCTACATTAGCTATTTAGATTTTTTGGATGAAAAGATTTAAGACATTCATAAGAAATATATTTTTTAATTAAGAAAAATGAGAGAATACGGAGTAATTCTATTCCAAAATACCCAACACACACTATGTGACTTTTTATACCTTGCACATGGTGTACCTTGATTGAATGTCACCCATTATGAACTCTCACACTCTGTTATAATGTGTTGGTAATGACATAAACAAAAGTGGATCCTAAATAAAAATAGTACATATTATTTGTTACCATTTTTAAATCAATGGTTTTCCATACATATTATGTCTGGATTGGTTATGAATCACAAACAAGTGCTTATGCTTATTTTAAACTTAAAATCTATGTAAGTGTGTCCATATATGTTTTTATTAAGTAACAGTTTGTATTATTATTGGCAAAGAGATTTCTAAAAGCAGGAGAAAGATGTACAACTTCAAACTTTCTTTTCTCAAAGTTTTCTTTAAGCTTTTTAATTTGAAAAATTTCAGCTGTATAGGGTAATATAAAAAAATGTACTTTTATAAAATACTAACGGAGATTCATCCTCAACTAACAAAATAAAGAGATTCAAAGGTTAAGAAAAAAAAAACATAAAATTTCTTTCTTTTGTCCCCCTGCCTCTCATGTTAAATATCATGTTAAAAAATATTAGTTGCCATAATATTAATATAGTTTCAATATCTTTTAAAGGATCAAAATCATGATGATGTGTCTGGAAACCAACTCTTACCTGGTAAGGTCAATTCTAAAAGTAAGAATTGATTTTCTAATAGTAATGAAATATGAATCCCTTTATGTTGTTATCCACAATATTCCTATATAAGTTGTTGTTGTTCGGGAGTCGACCATGACCACTGTAATGATCAGAGTTTTTATTGGTTCTGTCTTGTGGGTGCGCAGATGGCTATGTAAGTACCTTCAATGGGACAAATTTGTAACAGCATATTGATATATTGACAAGATGTTTTCTTTCTTCATTTTAACTTAAATTTATTTATCTTGTTTATTTTAAGATGAAGTATAAATACCATAAATGGAACTGATGACTGAAAAGAAAACAACAGAGGATTTCAAGTGAAATAAAGGTTACACACAGTATTTATAGAAATATGACTACGAACCATATTATATTTCACTGACTGAATGTACCATAAAAGGATCAACAAACCTTTTTTTCTTTTTTTTTGGTAGCTTTCCCCACCATTGGATCTTTCTTATGCTTTAAGTTTCTTCTTGGGTCTCAAATGCTCAACTTCATGACTGTCCATATTCAGACAGCATGGTAAGGCTGTTTAAACAATGTTATTTGACAATTGTATTGTAGAAAAAAATATTTTAACATCTAGAATAGTACATTTTTACAATAAATGCAATTCAGCAGGAGCACGATTTGGGAGTGAAGATTATAGAGATTTTGTTTGATGCTATGTCTGTCCAGTGGGTTAGCTGAATGTTTATGGACACAATTCTGCTATAATTAACTTGAAATTCTGACACTAGGAATAATATATTTTTTATTTCATAAAACTTGTTGTCTACTAAAAACTATGAAATCCATTATCTGTAACCGTCTCCTTACCCCATGAGTTCCCCGCTTGAGAGTATCTCGTGGGTGGAATCCACTCATATATATTTATAGAGAGAAAAAGAATGGAGAATGGATGCACAAAACCATGTACATTTTTTTTTCCTTTCTGACTGATAGAATACAATATTGGCCTCAATTAAAAATTCGAAAAATTGAAACATTGAACTTCTGATATTTGATCTAATGAGACTGGGGGGGGGTAGAAATCTTTTATTTCATCTTACTGTCCCAATAATGTTAAGTCTTCAGAGAAAACGTAGTCAGTTGGGATATTGTGTTCTTTGCCATTGAATAGCTCAACCATTTCAAGAACTATCTTTTCTCCAAGGTTTTGTGTCTTGCTATTGTCTCCTGGGCGAGTTGCCACTTTTCCAATAATGGCTTCCCTTTCAATCGATAAGACGTTGACATCATTTGTCCAGAAAATCTTGATGTCATCTGGATTTTCACAAAATGGGATGAGTTGCTCATCATCTGTTATGTTACTGCTGGGAAAATAGTGTGGGCTGAGATTTGTTTAGAAAATTTACCAAATTTCTCCAATTGGGGTTTATTTGACTGGGGATTTTCTTTGTGTCCTTGTTTCTTTGACATCAAATCGCAAGTGCTTTAGGAGAGACACTAATCTTATCCTTGACATTGCTGCTCTTAGCAAGGCAATTGTCTCAAACAAGAGGGTGGTATTTGAAACATTTTGATGAATAGCACCATTAAAAGGCAACATCTAAGAAAAGCCTCTATTTACTTTGAGTATGTATCAGTCCAGTCTTCTTTTTTAATGTTTCTTCCTTCTGTGCTGTTTTTTTTTTTTAAAATCACTATAATATCAACCATTTTGGTTGTTATGTTTTGCTGAATAACTGTTTCCTCAAAGTAGACACTTAGTACCCAGTAGATATCCTACTGTGGCAAGAATAGTGAGTGAATTACCAAGATTAAAATAGAGTCAAAACAATCAGAATAATGCCTCTTGACTTACCAGTTTTTGCTTGCAGTTCTATGGTGTAGGTTAAAAGTTCATCAACAGTTGTCAACTCACAGGCTACTGCCCAACTTTAGGGTACTTACAATAACAGTATAGTCCAATGGAAAAGCCTTTTTTGTGCCCATATGATATGCTGAGTAGATGAGGCATTTATCAAGGCCCAATAATATGCATATGGCAGAAATGTAAAATACAAACTATATACAAACTGGCCCACAAAGTGAAGGCTAATTATTTTCAAAGGCTATATTTCCACATTCTTTTGTAAGTATTATCTTTGTTGCTTTGTGTTTTCACAAGTGAACTCACTAGATATCAGAACTGTAATTAGAATTAACTACTATTCTTTATGAGTGTAAGCCATTTCTGATAAAAAAATGCACACTTCAAGTTTAGGGTTATTTAAATTTTTTAAATTTTCTATTTGCTTCACCTCTAGTAATAAACTTACATTAGGTGAAAAAAAAAAACAACTATTCTCAGAACAAAAATATTTTAGAACTACAGGTATTGATAATTTAAAGTCTACCGTTCTTTGTATGTTTCTAATTTTATTTTTTTCAATTAAACTTCCCTTACCCAATCCAGGTTTTCCTTAGATGCACTATGTCAATTTCTAACAGCTAATCTTCTTTAATTATTGGATGAAGTGAAATTATTAAAACACATATTTTGGTCCCTAAGAGCATTCTAGTAACCATTTCTTCGAGCTTCTGCAATTATTACTCAAGTGAGTTTCTGGTATATACAAGATCTGCTAGTTGCTGTGTCCTGTCATTTAGGCCTTAAAATGGAAACAAAATTATTAAAATTGTGTAATATTTTGTTATGCCCCTGTAAGAAAGCTGAAGCGCACTAAAGCTCCCAACACATAGCTTATTATCCACTGTGCTATGCTAAACAGACTGCTTAGAAAATCAGCGACATAATTTTTAACATGGTTTTTAGAGATATTGTTTAATTGAATACACATCATAACTGTTTATAAACTGAAAAAACATGATTTGTGGGGAAGAGGGGTGGATTCTAAATATTTCATAAGCTTTGGTTGGGTGTATAAAAGTTTTCTTTATTTTATTTATCTAATATTTGGATGGCTCCATGTGGAGGACTCTGTTGAAAATTGCTTTTTTAAAAGATGGAAGCATGTATTGCTGCATAATTCGTTTGTGTAGATTGATGATACCGGTATTTATACGCACAAAGATGACCCTACCATCCTTAAGTTCAGTCAAAAAAACACTACCCTAGATTAGTCTAATTAGATGAAGTTGATTTTAACCAAAACCATTGAATAATTTACGAAGAGTTGTGTACTAATAACATTCCCTTTAAAATGATACAAAAATAAATATGTATGTTTCTTTTATTCCTTTATAATATAATTTTATTAAAATATATTATAGTATTTTTCTATATTGATCCCTTATTTAATAAGACCATATTAAAATATGTTTTTTTTACATTGTTTTTATTATATTTGAAATTTTCAAATTTGTGCACATGTTTTAGAATACTTTTATATGAAATTCAATTATCTGAATTATTGTTTATTTTAAAAGTCAAAACATTTTAAACAATGACAACCAGAATTTGTTAAAATGTGAATTTAAAAAAAAATAATTGCAAATAATTATTCAAAGTATTTTCTTTTTTAAGCACTGATCATTTACAATTTGGTAAACATTTTACTTAAATAAAGATTATATGAAGCACATATTCTAAAAAAAACCCTGCTATTCCACTTCATTTAAATTTCATTTCGATTTTATATTATAATATTCTTGATTGATGTATTATTGCCATGAAATCAAATTTGTTTTTTTCATCACTATTCTATAAATATTTGGAACGTTAAAATTCAAATATTCATATTGCCTAAACATAAATTTATTTTAAAACCTATTAGTTTATTAATTAAGAAAATTTAATACAAGGTAAACAAGATTTATTTTCTTTCTACAAATTTTTTTTTTTACATCTTCTATTGTTAAATCTTGATTCAGATGCGACAGATCTATCCTTGTAGTTTATTCACAGATTTTTCTCATATTGAATGAAGTTCAACTGCAGAATTATTTCAGGTTTTGTCTCCAATGCCACCTGTGTTTGGGATGGTGTTTTTCCCCCCCTAAAACAGAAATCTTTAGAAGATTGTTGTCAATTCTTTGTCCAACCAACCATATCTTTTATATCAAATGTTTTGGCGACAGATACGAATGTCTGTCTTCCCTATTGCAGGTCTTACATTTTTTAAACTTAGTCTTTCATATTGTTTTTTTAATGCTATTATCTTGCTGTCTTTTTATGCAATCAGTTATCAGTTATCAGCAAAAATAGAAAGGATTAACTTTATAATCCATTCAATTTTTTTTTTACCTTTCAGGAATGTAAATAACTTTTTTTTTACTATGTACTTTAATTTATAGACAGAAAATTTTGTTATTACTTAAATATTTTTCCATTTACCAATTTTAGAAATCTTTATATAAGATAAGCACTTTTTATTGAAAAGACCCAGTTAATTAAAAGTGTATTTTCCAATGCTCAATTTATTTAAAAAAATTGTATTCACAATTATTGTCTGTTAAATAAATAATTCATTTTAAGTTGTCAATTATTAATCATGCATTTCATTATATCCTGTTGTTGCTTCTGTGCAATCATCTCATCATTTCTCTTTGTATTATTTATTTGCTTACCCAATGTTACCTGACTTAGTGATACCTGACTCTGTGATATTTGTAAGTAGTTATTCAATAAATAATACATTATATTGTTTTTTTTTAAATGGATATTGTATACTACAAATATTTAGATTTTTTATATTTTTAATAATGTGTAAATAAAAACTTGTATAAGTGAGGCCTTTTATAAATAAAGTTAATAATGTGAAGAAAAATAAAAGATTTTTGCATTATTATTTAGGCATTTTTTTTATAGCGCTTACCTTACAACTCTAAGCGCTTTACAATTATTAAAAATATGTAAACTATTTAAACTGCTAAAGCAAATAAAAACGAAAAATCAGAGACACTAGAATAGTAACTACTATGTGAAAAATGACTATAAAAACAAGTACACTTGGCACGTTTTTGGCATATAATTAAATACAGGATCAACCTGAGACAGAAAATGAGGCAGGGCGAGTAGGGTGCATCACAGGTCATAGACGGACCTAAATGCCTCTGAGAAGAGTGTTACAGTAGTCAAATTTTGAAAGAATGAGTGAAGAGACAAGAGTTTTTGTGGCATCAAAGGAGAGGAGGTGTCTAATGGGGCTTATTTTTCTAATTTCGTTGTATGCTGATCTGCAGATGTTCGTGACATGTTTGTCCATGGAGAGGGTGTCTGTAAGCGTGACTTCAAGGTTTCTGGCAGAGGAAGAGAGTGTGATGTCAGAGGTACCGATAGATATAGAAGAAGGAGCGGATGGAGGGAGAGGGGTTTTTTTTTTGAGAGTGGATGAGAATGATATCGTTTATCATCATTATAACTTTATTGTATTGTAACTTTTTTGACTTGCAGGTATGGTTGGAGATTTTTTAGAATTGCAATAAAAACAATGCTTTTATCAATGAAACTATTTCACTATATAATGCCATACATACTCACCTATTCATACATTCATCTATCAAAATCAGATAGTTATAAGACTAAAAATTTAATATGCCCAACATCTTTTTCTCACTTTAAATTAATTTTTCAGCACTTTTT